TAGTGGAGGTAATTGGCAGAGGGATACAACACCACCTATCTCCTGTTTACAACACAGTCCTTCCAGCAGTTCCAAAAAGGTTGCACTATCAGGTGACCCCGGGGGCACAGATAAACCTTCAAGTAGCATCAATGACTCTCAGAGAGAGTGCTGACAACCAGATGACTGCAAGGAATATAAATCCGCCCATTCTACATCATTCAGTCAAAACTGAAGAAGCTTCTTGGAGGAAAGGTTTTCAAGGAAAAACAAAGAAAGTCCAGTTGCCTTTTGAAAAAGCACCTTTGGGATAACGATGACCTGGATGATTGAGAATCTCCATAGACAAGATCAAGAGAAGTGACAAAACTGCTCCATACCACACTAGTGAAGCCACCTTTGGAATATTGCATCCAATTCTGGTCACCACAATCTAAAAAAGAACAGAAGGTCCTAGATGAATGCAGAGAAAAGCAACAGATATGACAAGGGGCCTGAAGGATGGCTAAAGAAATTAGGTATGTTTAACTTAATGAAGATGAAATGGATGGGAGATATGATAGCAGTATTCCTTTTGCATCTTTTTTCAAATCTCTTTGGGAGCTAGACATGGTTCTTTGGCACATGCAGTGTTAAAGGAAATACTTGCTTCTGTAAATCCCAACAGCAGGCCAACAACACACAGCAATTAATTGTAGATAAGGCTTAGCTTATCTAAGCTAAAATCTCAAACTCTAGCAGTTCAAAATCAAGGTGAAGAATTACATGCCAAATCAAGGAAGAGACAAGGTTGTGGCTCGTCAACAAGCCAGGGTTTTAAATACAGTAGAACCTCTGGTCACAACCATCATTTGTTCCATAACTTTGGTTGCAAACTGATTTGGTCGTGACCAGTGGTGGGATTCAATTTTTTTTACTACCGATTCTGTGGGCGTGGCTTTGAGGGTGTGGCTATCAATATGCTGGTGATATCCTGCTGTATGCTTCATTACTCTATGATTTCAATTGCACCAATTGCTTTTATCCCTAAAAACACCATGGTTGGAAGACTCTGATTTAAGCAGTTGGGTTTAGCCCAAATGAAGTTGTTGTTTTTACAACCTGAAGCAACTTAAATGAAGTTAGATAATTGGAAAACACTCAGCACTTTGCTTAAACTGGCTCTGATAATAAGCCATGAAAATTAATTAACTTCCTTCCTTCCTTCCTTCCTTCCTTCCTTCCTTCCTTCCTTCCTTCCTTCCTTCCTTCTTTTGAGGTGGCACAGTGGTGAGAGTACAGTACTGCAGGCTACTTCAGCTGACTGCTAGCTGCAGTTTGGCAATTCGAATCTCACCAGGCTCATAGTTGACTCAGCCTTCCATCTTTCCGTGTGGCTAAAATGAGGACCCAGATTGTAGGGAGCAAAAGGCTGACTTTGTAAACCACTTATAGAGAGCTGAAAAGCACTGTAAAGTGGCATATATGTCTAAGTGCTATTGCTACTCCCTTCCTTCCTTGCTTCCTTGCTTCCTTCCTTCCGAACTGATTTTGCTGAAAGCCTACTCAGAAGTGAAACAAGGATGAATTTCAAGGCTGAAGAGATAAGCAACTTTCTCACATCAAAATAAATGCATCCCACAGTGCACATTAACCAGTGTAGCTTTCACTGCATTATTAAAGAGATGTTAACAGCTTCCTTGTGAAAAGGTAGAATGTTTAATAATTCTAGTTTGAGTTGTTATACAATTGATGGCATTAAAGATTGATGTGGAGATTACTCTTAATAAATGAGCAAGGGCACATTGGTGTTAGAAAGGTTCCTCTCCTCTAACCTGACCTGTTTTCTGGGGTTTCCCATCATGCTGGAGCTAGAAATAAACTTGCTTAACTATGTTGGGCTTATAGTGTATATTCCCAAGAAGAACTGATGCAGTTGATGGATTAATGTAATTGATAGGGCTATTGAGCGTTTTCCTTCACTTTTGTTCTCTTAGTTTATTTGTAAATAAAGGAAGTAAATTCTCTTAGATATTAAGAAATAAAACGCATAGCACTGGCTCTAAACCTTCTTTGTGCTTGAGGAAATAGGGCGTGTGCCATTGACTTTTTAAATTCCTATGTATGGGTTGGGTTATACACTATGCATAGTGGATAATCTACACTAATAGGGAAGAATTGTCTTTGGTCTTAGCAGAAAATCCCCCCTTTTTCTGAAGCAGAAATTTCTCTTTGCTCCAGTTAATTTTAAGGACACAAAGACAAGCAACACTCTCTTACAGTATCTTGCAGTCAGAGCCTAGGTGGTGCAGTGGTTAGAGTGCAGTACTGTAGGCTACTTCAGCTGATTGCTAGCTGCAGTTCAGCAGTTCAAATCTCACCGGCTCAAGGCTTCCATCCTTCCAAGGTGGGTAAAATAAGGACCCAGATTGTTGGGGACTCTGTAAACCACTTAGAGAGGGCTTTAAAAGCACTAGGAAACGGTATATAAGTCTAAGTGCTATGCTATGCTGCTACAGTATTAGCCAATTATTGGCAAAGAAAAGGAACAGAATAAGGAACTAAACTCTTTGCTGTTCTGATGAGCCTAAGAATAAACTTTGAGCTCAGCAGATTTTTCCGAAAGGAGAACGGGCAGCTACAGTTCTTCATTTATTTATTTGGCATGCTGAGGACTATGTCCCAGGACTGTATTGTTTAGGAAGTTGCATAGCATGACCTTTGTAGCAGTGCAACCTACAAAATGATAACAATTTCTGGTAATAGTGACAAATGAATTGGGAGCCAGCCAGAGTCATTTGCAGAGATGGGTTGCTATAGAAATCAAATCAAACCAATCAATAAAAATAAAAATGAGAAACTTCCTTTTAGCTCTACCTTCTATCATTATCCAACTAGACCCCAAAAGATTCCTGGGAAGGTGAACCAAGAAGTGAAATGTTAAGCAGCTTCCTTGTTATTTTTTCTCAAACATAAATTGATATTTTCCTTCTATTTTTTCCTAGAGTTTTCTTGGATTTTCTTTCCTTATTTCTCTCCCCTCCAATGCTTAAGCAATCCCTCTGGATACCTGACCCATTTTTGTCCCCACTCTAAGAGAACAGAGGCATAGGAGAGGAAGATATTACAAGAGAATAAATAGACAAAATGGGGAGTGCACTCGGCTTTTTGTGTAGCGTACAGGTAGTCCTTGACTTACAACCACAATTTAGCCCCAAATTTATGTTGCTAAGTGAGACATTTGTTAGGTGACTTTTGCCCCATTTTATGACTTTTCTTGCCACATTTGTTAGTTGTAGTTCTTACGTTAGTCACCCAGTTGTTAAGGGAATACAGCTTCCCCATTGATTTTGCTTGTCCAAAGGTCGTAAGAGGTGATCACATGACCCTGCGACTGTCAGCTCCTCTCCATTAGTTAATTAGGAAAGAAAGACCATGAGACTCCATGCGTAGAAATCAAATGTACTTTTACTAATTAAAAATGGTTANAAGATCTTCAGATTTTTTTAAACGGGAAACATCATAATACTTTGGCATTTAACATTTATCTGAGCAATGCAGTGTGGTTCTCCCATCAAAACATGGCTTATAAAAATGCATCATTATCATCATCTTTTAATGACCCCATGATCCCTTGCAGGGTGGAGTCTGGGCAAATGAATTCAGCTGAGCGTTTACTGGCCAGATGCCCATCTTGCTGGCAATGTGGAGTTATATCCAGCAGATATGTGCTCATTGTGCCCAGAGAGAGAAATATTTGCCTCTACCTAGGATCGAACTTGCAGCAAGATCACCACCTCTAGGCCACTGCACCACCCTGCTTGTAAAAATGCATGCAGAAAGAAAATGCTCTTGCACAAATGACATTAGAAAACACAATATTCATCATCACACCATGCTATGGACGTTTGCTTAGAAAAAAAAAAGTGTGATGGGAGAAAGCTGCTTAAAAAGCAAAAACACATCAACCTGTATGTCATTTCCACCCTCTGGAAGGTGATCCTGGAGGTTGTCTTTGCTAGACAATGATGGCAGTGGAGAAATGATGTCAAAGTTTCCATACCCATACTGCTTTTCTTGCAGTTTTAGAAAGCAAACAGAAATATATCAGCCAGTGTGCAATTTTCCCCATATGGAAAGTGATTCAGGAGGCTCTCTTTGCAAAGAAGCTCACTGTCCTAGAATTTAAATCACTGGGATCCGGCAAGGGACAGGCTTCAGAAATGTTAGCAAGGGGTCAGGGGTGGGTTGCTACGGGAATTACTGTTTGTAAGGCATGCAAAACTTTTTGCGCACGCACGTTCACTTCCCTCATGTGCATGCCAAACGCACGCTCTGCATGTGTACGCATTCACACCAAAAAAGGTTTGCACATGCGTAGAATGTTAGAAAAGGTGGAAAAAAAAGTACATTTCTGCAATGGGGATTGTTCTGCGCATGCACAGAAACAAAAATCAAGATGGCACTGCCGACAATAGAACTGATTTGGGTGCGTGGGCGGCTGAGTTACTACCTACTCGGCTGAACTGGTCCGAACTGGCAGGAACCGACCTCTGCAATGGGTTCTCTGCCTGGTTGCTGAGTGGGTGTGGCTATGGTGGGTGTGGCATAGTCAGCCTCCTGAACTACAGAGGGCGTTTTTGTCTCCTCATGCTCTGGAGGCTTTTCTCGAGCCTCCGGGAGGGCAAAAATGGCCTCCCCAGGCTCCGGAGGCCCTCTGGAGGCCAGAAATGGGCCAGTTTCCAGCCTCCCCAAACTTCCAGTAGGCCCATTTTTTGCCCTCCCTGAGCCTCCATGCACACCCTGCACTTACCTGCATCCAAAACGGGCTGTGTGGGAGGGGCAGGGTGGGGTGGGCAGGGCCAGCCAGGAGTGGGATTTGGGGGTTCTCCGAAATGCACAGAACCTTAGCTAGAGGTTTTCCCGAAGCCCTGCGAATCCCCAGCAGCCTACACCTGGATCTTCTAAATCTTCATCTTGTCATCAGACCACTATAGTCAGTGATGGCAGTAGAGAAATGATGTTAGAGACTCCATACCTACCGTTTTCACATTCAAACTCTTGGTCCTTACATTGCCCTGTTTCATCCAGGCACGGAGTTCTTGTCTTACAGGGCTGTTTATCGTTCAGGGACTCAATGCATGGCTTTCCTCCAAACTGTCCAAATCTCAGAATACTCCTTGAGCGGTACTTTGTGGGAGATAGTAAAAACTAAATTAAAAGGGGCTCAGAATCAGCCAGCTGGGGAGGGAATAACGGCTGGGGAAAATGAGGCTGGCCCAGAAATCCCCCCCCCAACGCCTTTTAATTTAACGTTTAACATTGAAGTTTAATTATCCTCGTCTCTTTTTAAATCTTAAATTTGAGATACTGTTTTTAGTCCCTCCATGAGGGAAATGGGCAGTAAAATA